ATCAAAAAAAAATTTAACATATTTAGTTATATTCTCAAGTGCCGGTTCACAGAACAACTGGAGAACTACAAAGTGCTGGACGTCTGTTTCATTCTGGTTTACAACTCTTCAACAGCACGTACCTGCCGGATTTCAAATCCATGACCTTCCAGTTACAAGGCGAGTTCACAGATCATTCAGCCATTGAAACGTGATGCAATGGCTTAAGAACTCGAATTTCTGTCGGTGTTGACTGCTGAAGATTCCCAGTGTAAGAGGAAACAACTGTTAATAATCACTTACAATAAAGGAATGGTGTTCATAATCCAGGTGTATAAGTCATGTGATTACCAAAGTATGCCTAAGGACAATCTAACGTGTCATTAAATGAAAATATATACTTTATTCAAAAACATACCGTTTCCTTAGTATTCATAATTTTAATCCTGGATTGCTGTGTGAAACGATTAATAAATCATTTGATATAACAGTAACTGTGTATATCACTGGCAATCTTTATCTTTTAATTTCCTGTTGTTTGGATTCGCTTTTAAAACGAGATTCTTTGTCTCTGTTTTCATCTTCGTTCCATGTGCAGACGCTTAGGTTATGCACTCAGATTAACGTGATGTCATTTGGTTGACAATTACTTTTACGAGTTGATCACGGATTGATATCAGTTAGAGAACCATTGAAAACCAGGGAGTACTGGACAGCTGCTGTTTCATCCTAGTTTGGGAATCATCGGCAGTACGCACCCACTGACAATTACTTGTTGCATGAAACGATGGGTGCTTGGGTCGGATCTCATTTCATAATAACTTACTGAGGATACAAAGACATCCATCAGACGAGTGCACCGGAGATCCCACTGGTAATCATCATTGGAGGGCACACATGTGGCTGTTCGAAGCAGTAACTATTCTAACTGACCAGATACACAAATAATCCAGTTACAACTGAAAATATACTACATTGTTTAAGCATGTTTACTCTCTGATATTGTCTCTTCTTAATAAGTACATCCCGCAATCTAGATAACTGATAATAACTGATCGTTTACTAGAACGTTTAACGTGAACTTTCCACTTATTTAAATGCAAACTAGAGATTTATCCAATTAGCCCATCTAGTTTGTCGATGACTACATACTTTTTTATGATTAGTATTCACTTGTTCATATGTTTTATCACCCTGACCTGCAAAGACCCATGGGTCCTCCCTACGTACATGTCTTCAAACATACATGTAAACTGATAAACACAATGGGATGTGACACTATCGTTCGGATACTGTGAGGGTTTACAAAATAGCATAGTTCTCGTATTCTCCATGAAGATAGGTTTAGCTGCATAGTAAGTTCTATTAACAGTTGCCGTGAATCTTCGCTTAGTGACCATACTTCATTGATCATACCTGAACGGCAAAGATATATAAAAATCCTTTTTGGAATGAGGGCAACCATTTTCGCCAGATCAATGGTGCTGCTACAGGACGCCTCCTAGGTCCATTCAAGTGTTGAGTGTACTGCTGAAGAGTCCCAAACTAGGACGAAACAGCCGTCCAGCAGTCCCAGGTTTCCCAATGGTTCTTTAACTAATATCAGCTCATGATGAAATCCTGTTACCCTAGGTCCATTGTTAGACGATATATATACATATATGTAGCATGTTGAGAACCTAGTGGAGGATGTAAGTGGAAAATTTTTTTACTATAAGGGATAAGTGAATGACATAATAGTCATCTGTAATAAACCGATAGACGCCATAGAAATCCTAAAGCAGATCGATTGAGTACAAAGTAGTATATATCTATATATATATATAACATACGTTGAAGAGAATAATCATTGCTTGCCATTTTTAAGATGTACTCATAACCCGCCTAGAAGATGGGTCAGTAAAACGATCTGTCTACAGAAAGTCCACATGGACGGGACAGTAGCTAAATTATCATAGTTTCTGTTCAATACAATATAAAAAAGGTGTTGGTCAAGCGCATTTACCGTATATGTACTGCCGACACAATTGAAGAAGAAACACTACACCTCACTGAAATATTGTTAGATAACAATCACCCGCTGATATTTATTAGGGATTACGGAAATGTCAACCAAAGCGATCTACCAATCCAATCAGCTCCTAAAATGTCTCTCCAGGTTAGGGCTACAGAACACATTCCAAAGTGGCTGTAACAACAAATAAAATCTCTGGATACAAGTGATCCCTGAAATAGATGTCCAACATAATCTATAGCGAAGCACATTATAGAGACGGGCCATAAAGTTGATTTCAGTTATGCCTTTAAACGCATATACAAAACAAGATTGGGTCATATACTTAAATTCGTTGAAGCCTTGACCATAAAATGACTTAAACCTGTCTTATGTGTCCAAAAGCTATTTGTTATCACTTTAAACCTGCCTTGGTAATTCAATTTAAAACCAAGGTTCAATTTACTTCATAATATTTTCAACCCCTTCTTTGTTTGTATTTTTAACTTTCTTACCCACACCTTTGCGTCATCACCCTACCGATTATGTTTGACCTTGACCTGTACACGGGCTGACTTGTATTGTAATAATTCATGCTTTTTTGGCTTCTATATAACTGTGTATGACAAGTCCATCTATGTGTGTGTGTGATCAGCATGTCCGAAATGTGTTGCGCAGATACACATTACAGGTTTCAGATAAACTAAGTCTTCTTATAGTGTTGTAATCTTATTTTTCTTTCTAACCAGTTAACGACATTTACCATCTAAAATTTAAAATCCTAATGATACATCCTTGAAAATATTCCTTTTCTTACTAAGACAGTTTACATGAAGTATGCGCTGAAGATGTCACCCAGTAAGGTGATGAAAGCTTCGCAAACTAACCATCCAGCCGGAGAACAAAACCACATCAAAAACTATACATGTATAAATGCAATTGTACAGCTTGATAATGATAACACCGAAAAGAGCAACTCTTTGCTGAAGAATGAAGCATTGGGATTTTCTGTAAATAAACATTTTTTCTCTAAATATAACATTAAGTTCATAATTTACATGAAACACATGACAAATTGTTAGGCAAAATTTAGAAGATGATTGCAGCGAAGAAAATTTTGTTCTCGACGAAGTCACCAACTAGGCTATGCTGTCAAAAATACTATCCACCCTGGCTAGCTCTGTAAAAGAATATCTGTCAGCTCAGGAGACTGCGCTACATCTGAAATGTCCCCGAAAGTCTTTACACGATCTGATCAAACCACTCAAAAGGAGTTAGATCCAAACACATGGGTATAGTTAAAGCACTGGCAATTAAAAGATGCAAGCTAACTCTACTATATATTCAAAGACAAAATACATCCAACCTCTGTCTTTACCATGGCGATCATAAACAGTCAATTTCCACAGTAATTATTGTCCGATTCAGTTTCTAATTCAAACTTCCTGTTTTTTTCTTACTATAACGTTTTCAATCTCTATTTGTAATCTTCATATGAGTTATAATTTGACCCTTAGCCGGGAACAGCTCTGGGACTTTCTAATTTCTTGAAAATATACAGACAAAATATTCAGGCCAGATGATGACTTTGTTGAAAACGAAATTCTCCCAGCTGCAACTAACCTTTTAATTTTTCCCATTCTCTTATTTGCAAATATACTACAATAAATTGTTAGATTCCCAGTAGAAAACCCAGCGATACCTTTGAAGTGAAGATAGAAGTGAAACAAGACTGCCTGTTATCACCAATGATATTCCTGACTTTGGTAGACGGGATTATGCAACAGAAAATGGGGGGAGGGGGGCGAGAAGGCAGTTATACGTTGGTCTGACAAGAGGATTGTAGCAGATTTGAACTTCGCAGACGATTTGTGTTTAATGTCACACAAAGTCGAGGATTTACAGGAGAAAACAAGGAGTTATCAGACGGGATAACAGTGAAGGCAGGACTTCAATTAAAAAATAGGTAGGTGGTGAAAACACCTAACCGACAACAATAAGCATCAATCTCCATCAACAGAAGAAAGCTGAAGAAAGTTACCACTTTCACTTTTCTAGGCAACACTGTTCCAGGGATAAGCTACACTGATGAAGATGTCGAAGTTAAATTCGGAAGAGCGAGACAGACCTTAATCACACTTAAATTAGTGTGAAAATATGCTACACTCAGTAAAAAGAACAAGATTTGGTAATTCAATACTGATGCTTCTCTGCAACTCATAGACCTTGGCGGGTGTGTCACCAGAAACATTTTAAACAGGCTTATCACTACTATTAGCAGTTGTTTTCGCTCCAAACCGAAGATTACATGGCCAACCGGAAGGATTAGCACAAATCCACTTTAATGAAGAACGAAATAAGAACCCATACCCTGACAGATATGCAAAGTAGTTGGAGATGAACTGGACACAAGTTATGGAGACTGTTGAGTAACGCCATACACTAAGCTGGCCCTTCAATAGAACCCTAATGGTAAGGGAAGAGTTGGAATGGGTTATAGGCTTACAGTAAAGGAGATCGTATGGCGAAGAAATAAAGTCAGAAAGGACTTTAGATAACAGGATAAAATAGAGATGTACTTATGAAGCAATTATATTCCACCTAGAACCTAAAGGAATAATGTTAATGTAACTTACAGGCCTAAGGAATGGTTGGTTTTTCCTTTGCCCTCCGAATAGAACATAGGTCATCAAGCCTGAGCTTGTAAGATTCGGTGGCGGTGGCTGTGGTTCTCCTTATTTTTCCCTTACTACGAATTTAGTGAAGTTTAGGAGTGCGTTTACTGGAAACCGAACCCCGGACCACATGCGTGGAACCAGAGATCTACCACGTCTTGGAATAAAAGCACCCATTACTTTCAAACTAAGTAATATTACCTAAATCAAAAGTTAATAAATAATAATTAGTAAGAGTATACCAATAATAACCACCCTTCAATAAACTGGAGCTATGTAGTACATTATGAAAAGCAAAAACTACAGCTGAATAATATAATAGAAAATAATTATAATTTTATTTATATACTTTGTTAGGAGTTTGGTTTATTTTCTGTCCTATCTGTACATCCACAACTGCATTCCATTACAATCGGCAAGTGAATCCGATACCAATTACAACTAGAAACTGGCCAACTTTCTGGACAAATATACCGCAGCAATACAATATCCTTAATACTTTTCTCCTGACAATACATTCCAGGTGGAAATGAACATGATATGTCAGCTAGGTTGACACATTTTCCAGCTTTAATCCAACGTGGCCAAAATTTTGGTCCCCAATCATACCATATATAGTATAGTGGACAACTAATAAAATCATTTAAAAATTCTCGAAGTATACGTCGTAGTTTCTTGTTTCGTTTCAATTGTTTACTATTCCGTTGAAGGTGTTCTGAATCGACATACATCAATCTTTCATGAAGTTCATTTTTTTCCTCTTTCTCTTCTTCTTTCAGAGTTTGAATCAATTTTAAACGATGCATAACCTTTGAAAGAGGGAATTTGAAGACACCTCTTGGTTATTTTCTCCTACTCGTCTTGTTTGATATAAATGATCACTATAGATATCTGAAGTGAAATAACGTCTGTGTGGTGGTAATTTTCTTGACCGTCTATTTCTTCGACGATTTACTGCTGTCTCGAATCTCTTGTCAGCGTTTCCGTTTACAACATTTGAAGTTACTAGCCTGCCAGATGGATAAATTATAGCTTCCCATGGTTTGTTCAATGACATAAATTCACTATCAAAATTATGTCTACCGAGTAAACGCATCATTTCATTATGATTTAATAAAACCTCTTCATGAAATGGACGTTCATTTGGAATTGGCGGTATTTGATTCCTCAGAGCGGATAATTGATTCCTATGAAGCATTTCTTTATAACTTCTTAAATTTAATGATGATGCATACCTTGAAAACTGATGATTACCTCTCATTCTGCTAAATATATTCACATTTTCCAGTGTTTGAAGAGTATCATAACTTGGGAAATGTTTTTTATATTATTATTATTATTATGATTATGATTGAAGATATCAGAATTATTGAGTGCTCTCCAAGTTGTATTATTATTATTATTATCATCATTATTTGATGTATAATATAAGACTGGTTTATGCATTTGACGAAAATGTTGATTTCGACTTTGAAATAAATGCCATAAATAGGATGATATATTAGCATTTTTCAATGATCTTGGAGAACTCGATGATGTATCCCTACTATCTTGTATATCATTCATAATGTAGGGTTGTTGAAATTGCATTTGACCGACACTTGCATGAATTAAACATGTGATCAGTACTATATGAATACGAAGATTATAGATGGTAAGGTTTAGTTTATACTGTAGAAAGCACATCACTATACACTGTACACATTAAAAAAGAAACATCAGAAAGATATGCAGTACAAGTTGACCGTTTTGAATTTGACTAACACTCGGTAATACTGTTAGACATCAACATAGAATAAATTTCTCAACATAATTTTGGCTGACACCAGAATAATTTGCAAAGCCTTTAAAAATTTCACACCTTCACTTCGTCTAGATTACACACACACACACACCTTATTTTTTGTCCAAACAAATACATGGTATATTATGAATTAAATTTGACTATTTTGACAGTTTAAATCAAGAAGTGCAGTGCGTATGTGTAGTCAGTTCAGTATGGAATAGCTTATCTTCCAATAGATTATTTCAAACAAATGGTGGGCTCTCCCTTCCGGTAGAATTACTTCTGATGGAGGGTGGTGACCTTGAGAAAAAGAATTCTCTCATGTGGTGAAATAGTTTGTTTTACTTTCAGTGAGTGGTGAACACAATACGAATTTGAAAGGAAGAGGAGGGAGAGAGTTGGAATGGTGAGAGAGAGAGAGAGGGAGAGGGTGTTCTACAGCTGACCAATAGGCTAATGGCTTTTATGACATAAACTTTATTTATGCATAATTGCTTATCTATCCCATATACACACTAATAATAATAATAATCGTCATACGATGTGAATTTTTTTTAAATAAGAAGTCTAACTTCAATGAACTGCAGTAAATTTCTCAATTAAATGATGACATAACTAATAAGTAGTTCAATGAAGAGTCTCTTTCCTGTGAATTCATTTCTTTGCCTGTACAATCACATTTTCTCATGGTTGAGGGTAATAACAAAATTGGCGGTTGACTTAGTCATAGATGTTAAAGTCAGTCAATGCATAAGAAGGATTGAATAAATACATTACATAACAAGGTAAATAGTTTTTCAAGAATGAATTATAATCGAGATGTACACAGAAACTAAGGAATATGCGGGATTATAACAGACTATTAGACAAATACAAAAGTCAAATACAAATAGTCAGAAAAACAAGCACACAGAAATCAGATTAATAGAAATCAAAGGAGACGAAAGTGGATTACCTTTGACAGGTTATTCGTCATTTGGGAGATTACTTTGAAAGAAACCAAAGGAAGTGATTCAGAAAAGAGATTCTCTTTAACGAATTCATTACCAACCTCTACAATCATGTGTATATATTTTTACGAGTTGATCACAGATCGATATCAGTTAGAGAACCATTGAAAACCAGCAGGGAGTACTGGACAGCTGCTGTTTCATCCTGTTTGGGAATCATCGGCAGTACGTACTCACCGGCAAGTTTGAACTCAGGACCTTCCGGGTAAAAGGCAGCTCGTAGACCATTCAGCCACTGGGACTCGATTAAATGGCTCATGAATTCTAACTTACTTCTACCAATTGGTGATTTAGCGTGACCCCAACCATTGTCGTAGGTGGTACATCCATTATCACACGTGACTGAGTGGACCCCACTGGTCACAACTTCTCCAGGAAATTTATCCTGTAGCAAGTCACTGGCGAGCATCAGGTTAATTTTCTATAGTTGGTTTGTAAGGGTAGAAGTTAGAATTCATAGGTTGGCTATTGAATCGGGTCCCAATGGCTGAATGGTATACGAGCTGGCTCGCCTTCCAACCGGATGGTCCCGGGTTCTAACGTTGCCGGTGGCGGCGTACTGCCGATGATTCCCAAACTAGGATGAAACAGCTGTCCAGTAATCCCTGCTGGTTTTCAACGGTTCTCTAACTGATATCGATCCGTGATCAACTCGTAAAAACAAAACCAACCCTTACAAACCAACTCAGAAAATATTATATATTTGGTTATTTTAAGAAGTTATATCCATTGAAATAACTGAATCATAGGTGTGAATAGATAAAATAATAATAGAAGTGTGAAATACAATTAGAATGTCTGTGATTACAATAATAGATGCTGCCTAGTAGCCAATGAAAGCTTCGCAAACAAACCATCCAGCCCAGAGAACAACTAAATCAAAACAAAATTGTTAAATGTCAAGTGTCAAAACAATTAATGTCATATATATATATATATATATATATATAACAATTCATAGGATGTTTATTTATTTATTTTTGATTATAGCTCGATTCCACACAGTATTTTTGGTACAAGTATGGAATTTTCAGCATGTGATATCGGTAGCCGAAATTTCGCCGGCGGACCATTGATATCAGGTGTGCGTCGGCAAGGATTGAGTCGATGACCATATGCATAGTCAGTGAGATTCCTAAACTCTGTGCCGACGACGCTCAGTACGGGAAGGGGTGAAATATTATGGAATTTTTGGGCAAATAAAATTAAAATAAAATCGTTGCGCATCGTCGTATGAAATTTGATAACATAGAACTCAACATTGCAAAAACATTGATTTAGAATGATAAGTAAGACTTGTAAAATAACACCGGGTACAATTCAAAGTGAGAATAGTAATAGGAACAATTGATTTAATAAGGGAAGAGTAAACAAACTAAATAAACGAAATGAAAACCAAGCAGAGCAAAAATGTGAATGGGGATTATCATACTTTGCTATAGAGTGATTAGACCATGAAAGTTAGATTGAATCCTTTTGGGAATTCCCCGATAATCCTGAGAGATAGCATTCAGTCAGGATGACATTGCACTGGTTTCTCCCTTGTTCTATCTATGACATTAATTGTTCTGCTACTTAACACCTGATGCTTAACTATGATTATAATCACAGAGATTTTAATTGCATTTCAAACTGTTATAATTTTATTTATTCACACCTTTGATTCAGTTCTGTCACCATAAATATGTACAATTGTACAGTTGGTAGTGAATTTGCTGAATCACTTACCTTGAAGGAGGCGTTTGTCAAGAAGCAACTTTGGGTGTTGACAATGTGTCCAACCATCTCATTCCTTATACAGTCTCTGTTGACTTTCTGTAATCATGCGAATAGTCTTCTTGAACTCTTTCAGACAGGAAGTGCGTCGTACAGCCAATGTGCCTGACTCCACAGGAATATATGTACTGAAAAATGAAGATAGAAGTGGTCCTTCAGGCTCTTGAAGTCTAGTAGATGACAGGAGAACACTATTCTTGCGTTCACTGCTAACAGTGTTCTTATCAAAGATAATAAATTTCTTCTCTTAAGTATATCGTCGGTGAAGTCTTCCTTGATACAAAGTTCCTTGGAAAGTTTCTTTTTTAGTACAAGTACTGTTTTGTTTCTCTGAACTTTTGATTTTATATTCTTGCCAATAGATTTCAGAAAATTTCTTTCTCAAAGTCTAGTTCCTCTTCCACAGCGTTATGGCTATAGATGCGTCGAATGTGAATATTAAGCCTCGGGAATGAATCGTTAAAGTTGAATACTGCTAATCTTCACCTCTACACATGATACCAAGAAGACGTGTTCATCATTTGCAGCGATAATCATGACCTCATTCAGCTGTTACAACTATTTAACAACTGTCATTCAGCAGTAAAATTCACTCCTGAATTGGAAAACGAATCCCAAATCCCCTTCCTTGATATAGAACTACAAAAAGAGCCTACGGAATTTTAAGAAAGTCAGTCCATAGAAAAATCACATGGGAAGGCCAGCTGACAAGTTTCTTTAGTTGATTGTCTGTTAAATCCCTCGCCACTCGTAGTTTAAATATCCCAACTTGAATAATTGCTGAAGGAGTGAATGCACGTTAACTAACATTTCAGACTACAGTGAAATAAATGTTCAAGGTTTAGCAGTTTTCAGGATTTCTCTGAATGATGTTGATTCATAAATAAACTACCCAAATCCTTTCAATTCAGCATGATATCAGTTTTTTCCAACTGCATACATTTTTTAAAGATATTACTTAGTTTTGAGATCAGTCTACTACATTCTTATTCCCCTTTCTCAGCACGGAATCACAAAGAACGTTGTTTTGAGGTTATAACATTTCATACTTAGTCGGGAAATCTCCCTGTGCTTGAAAATATGTCGTTAAGAAATTAACTGCTGCCAATCCTTGTAAGAATGTTTTGCTCCTGGTAATTGACACACAGATCCCTAATATTCCTACTACAGTGGATTAGTCTTCTTCTACTTAAATCGAGTTCAAGTGTAGATGATGGAATATAACCGAATTTTTAAATTTTAATTCACTGGCAAACATCAGAATGTGACAATATGATTTTCCTTCTAAAGATTTGAATTTCGACCACCCGCTTAACTTTTATTTGCCTTATGACGTGAAATTCCGTTGAGTGGCTTATGTAGCAGCTCAAACTTATACAATAACAATAATAATTTTTTGGTTTATTCCAAAAACAGTACAAATGATACAGCAAGGAATTTTCAGCATTCAGTACAATATTGCATCTAATTTACTCAAAAACAACAAAAAAATAAAAATAAACATTACATAATAATAATAATAAAACGTTGTTATAGCAGCCATGTAGCGAATAACAGAATGCGATAAGGAGAAAAATATGCATATAGTATAAAATTATAGTAATAAAAGTAATAACAACTAAAATAAAATAGCAAAGTTATAATTAACCGTAAGAAAGGGTGACACCGTAAAATTACAGAAATATGAACGATGAAAGGGTCGATTCACTTTGCTAATTACCTAGTAACTCATATGTTTCACGTCTAACAGTGTCTTCATCATATAAAATACGGGCTAAATAGGGTATTGTAGAATTTTTGTACTTAGTGGTTCGAGCATATATCTTCTTATATTGACTTCTCATCCTACCTGATGAGATACAAGCGGATAGCTGTGAATAAAGAGGGTGCAGGGGGTATGACAATACAGCCTTTGCCCATTTCGTACAGGGATTTATGTTTTTCTCGACTATAATATTAACGAGCTCATGCAGTGGCATACCACAAGCCCTACTCACAGCATTTAATATCCTTCGTAATATGATATAGTCTTTTTTGAGAATCCCAGGAAAGATTAACGGAGAGCAATAGAGTACAATAGGTAAAACACAGGAGTTTACAAACTACAGAAGTGAAGGTTGGTTGATACCTGATTGTCTTAACTTTTTAATGTAGAAGGTAAGACGAAACATTTTCTTAGAGATAGATAAGATATGGGATGACCATGAAAGGTCAGAGGAA